CATTTTATTTTGACATTTCGCAAACAACGTGGCATCTTCAAACACAGAGGACGTAAACTCACTAAGATTCAGCTACTGGGAACAAAAAGTTCCAAGTAGCATGGGTTATGGTGAGCTCGATCGTATGCAAAAATATTCATATAAAATAAGTGTAGCTTCCTCTCACTCCCATCATACTTATTCTTGGAAATGAGTAATCTTCTGTTGCAGAGAGCGACGGATATCGGGTTAGGTCATTACTGTCTAACATTAGTTAATGGCTGTCTTTGGCGACGGGGCTCTTTCCCTCTGGGTCAATGGAGGGCCATCAAACAATTGACTGTTCTATACATATGATCATTTCGAAACTCTTGAATTTGATGAATAGTTAAATTCATTGAGTGTTAACTACTTGGACAATTATACGGAGGTTTTGATCGTCCACTGATCACTACTTCGGAAGTTAGCATGAACACACTCGCGTCTCACTAGTGAAGCACTCGTGACTCAGTAGTGAAGCATTCGTGTCTTGATCATTAGTGAACCACTCGTGTCTCACTAGTGAAACACTCGTGTCTCACTAATGAAACACTCGTGTCTCACTCGTGCTTCTCACTATTGTCTCACTGGTGTTTTGAATCCTACACCTCTTCCACTTCAGCACCCCCTACACTTTTTCACCACTTCAGCACCCCCACACTTCTTCACCACTTCAGCACCCCCACACTTCTCCACCACTTCCTCATGCTGGGGGGCCCGAAATGAACAATTTTGTGTTCAACAGGTAGGCGTTTTCTGAGCTGTGTTGCTCTGTCTCTGTTGTGGAAATTAGATATAGGCTGTGTGGCCTTTGCAAAGCAATGTCTTATTTTATTGCAGCATGTGTGTTGCACGTATATTGTGTTGCTAAAATTCGTGCTGTTTTTCTGTATAAAAAAATATTGTTAGTAATGCTATTATTATTATTAATACTATATATTTTTTATTATATGTTTTCTGTTTTTATTACTACTATTACTTTTTAATAATTTTTAATGATATATATTATCATTGTTTTTTAGCATTCATTGTATTATTATTTTTATTATTATTATTATTACGCTGCATCGTCGAAAATAAATACTATTCGTAGTGCTATTATTATTTGATTTGATTTTATTTGACAACAGAGTATCAAAGGGTCGAAAACTATGTATACAACCGCTACAAATTGAAAGAAATCAGAGAAGCACTAAAACAATTACAGGCTTCAACAAATATCGTTCACTCTAAACGAAATTGTTGTTCGGATAAACGAAAAAAATCTGTGACCATTAAAAGTGCAGAAATAAATAGTTGGGAAAAATCTCTGTACCCACACTTTTATTTAACACTCACACAATCACATGCACACACACACACTGAAACAAGAAACACACACACACACACACACACACACACACACACACACAAGAACACACATACACACACACACACACACACACACACACACACACACACACACACACACACACACACACACACACACACACACACACACACACACACACAAACACACACACACACACACACACACACACACACACACACACACACACACACACACATAGGGGAGGCGAGGCTGATTACACCAAACCTTTACCAACATCGTTAATGAATATTAAACCGTAATATGCATATGGTTATCCAAAGCCACTTAAAACAACATCTTAAGTGCTTCGAGACTTTACAAGTAAGGACAAGTATTGCGTGGCACCTCAATTGTCACAGTGAAGTCATATATAAGTGTGCTCAGAGTGCACTTGTTTCCGTGAACGAAATTACGTGTTTGACATGTAAGTGTTAATTATAATTAGCAAAAATGGGGGATTTTTAGGACGTGATTACCTGCCTCAGCGTAGTAAGAACCCTTAAAGAAACCCTGAGGTAACTTTTACGTGTCTCTGAGATTGCTCAGAGACACTTAGTGTCTCTGAGCAATCTCAAGAGACACTAAGACAAGAGACACTAAGACACTTGAGACAATCTCAAGTGTTTCTGAGAATGCTCCTCTTCCTTCTCTCAAAATGCGGAGAGAGGGCAGAACGCCACTGTTAAACTCGACGTTATTTACATGCTTTATTTTACATTTGACTCAATAAAAGAGATCATGGTAAATAGATTAAGGTGTTTATAGTTGATAATATTTTTGAAAGCATCTAATTTAAACGAACCCTCAACCTGCATGCCCAACCACTTGGGTTAGACGGTAGAGCGACGTTCTTGCATCATGCAGGTTGCTGTTTAATCCCCGACCGTCCATAAGTGGTTGAGCACCATTCAACCGCTTATACAATTAAAGCAATAACAATTAAAGCACAAGATTTTGATTAATATATTTGATAGCCTAAATGTGTTCCGTAATTTAAGTTCCGTACTGTACAGTAATTTTTTTATGAATTATAAGCCTCTGTAAGAAGATTATTATTTATTGGACATGGAGTTTTTGCCAGTTTAAATTTATTTTATTGTATTTATTTATTTTATTTCTTTATATACAAGAGTTCATAAATTCTTGTACGAAATATTAATATTTCCTACATAGTTTCATACTGAACGGTATTTTTAATAACTTATATCTAGGCTCACTTAACATAGTTTAATCGACTACAAAGAATAAATATAGGGATAACATTTTATGTGGATATTTTTTAAGAGAATTTACGTATCAGTAGTATATGAATTTAACAAATGCAATGTTAGATTTAAAGTCTTTGTTGAAAAAGAATCGGGATTCTAAGTGACTTACGTTATTTGTGAAGAATCAAAAGGCCTTATATATGTTTCATAGTGCGAAAACAACTATATGTAAGTCGATGCTCATATAGGCATGACAACCCGTTCTCGCAAATTTAATAAGTCAATATTGAATTATTAAATATGTGCATAGGTGACATACTTAACATAATAGTTTCCCTTGAAAAGCTTCATAGAAAACACCGACCTTACCTAACCTACTTAGTATGTTAAGATAAGCATCTTATTGCTTCGTAATTACAATTATTACCTAACCAATACCTATAATAGGTTAAGTAACAATTGTAATTACGAAGCAATAAGATGCTTATTTTAACATACTAAGTAGGTTAGGTAAGGTCGGTGTTTTCTATGAAGCTTTTCAAGGGAAACTATTATGTTTAGTATGTCACCTATGCACGCAACTAATAAGTCAATATTGACTTATTAAATTTGCGAGAACGGGTTGAGGCATGAATAAAGGGGATAAAGGCAGAATCTGAATACCCAAATAAGCCACAGAGACATTAGAACGAATGTGTCAACGTGATTAATAAAATAAATGCAATAAGAAGGCATATGGATGAGGCCAATTCCTTACCCAGTTTTAAATGTACATATTATAGAGCCTAATAGGCCCAGGAACCTCTTCACTAGTGGATTAATAGTTGAGAGGCGGAACCAGAGAGCTAAGTATACAAACATCGCAAACACAATTAGGTGAGTATAATTAGGTCAGTACACACACAAAACATCATATACACGACACACGACACGTATGACACCACACATATGACTAGGTGAGTACATATGGAACAATCATACACACACATATATACACCGTTCAATCCCTGGTGATGGCACGAGTTTCTTTCACCTTGATCCTCCTGTTACCTACCAGTAAATAGGTACCTGGGAGTTAGACAGCTGTTACGGGCTGCATCCTGATGGGGGGGGGGGGGGTGGAGGGGGGGGGTTGGAGGAGATTAAACAAAATAGTAGTTATTAACAGTTAATTGATTGACAGTTGAGAGGCGGGCCGAAAGAGGAGAGCTCAACCCCCGCAAACATAACTTGGTGAATACACACACACACACACACACACACACACACACACACACACACACACACACACACACACACACACACACACACACACACACACACACACACACACACACACACACACACACTCGAACACTTGCCCAAACCTACAGGTGGACAGGTGATCGTGTTGTTTGAGACCGAAGGCAGGTAATGACATAACCTTAGGAATAACGAACTACGAAATAGACAGACGGACACTAAAGAGAAAAAAGAACAGAAAAGGAAGATACAGATACTGTAAAAAGTGCACACAGACACAGAGGGAGGCTGAGATAGACAGGCAAAGACAGAAGCAACCAAACACAGTTAAACACTTCGACAGGCATTCGCAAAAACACACACACACAAAAGAGACAGACACGGATAAAGACAGACACACAAACCAACAGAACTCCCTAATTATCTAGCGGTGTTTTTTTTAACTCCCTTTGAATAACCAACCAATTAGTTCTGTCCAAAGAAGGAAAAAAAAACCTCTCGGTCATTATTGCAGTATAACAAAAATAAAAAACGACTACGTGAACCTTTGTAGCCACACATAACCAATTACTTGGAATATGTTGGTTTGGAGAGAGATAGAGTTAGTTGCCTTGCGGGAGTCTCCTCTTTCACACAGTACCTGTAAATTTGCCCCTTTCGTGACTTGCGTTGCTCATCGCCCTGGATAATTAGGTTTAAAACAGGGTTTGAGAAAATGCCAAGATGTTGCGAGGCATGAAGAGAAATGCAGGAATAAAGGAGGAGGAGGAGAAGAGGAACTGGAGATATGTATACTGCTTTAGCACTGTATCTTGGTAATTAATACATGGGTAGGATAAGTGGGCAAGGATATGACTTAGGATAGAAGAACGGAGGATAGGAACGAATGCTCATCCACTTCGACCATGTGTATCGAAGGACGAGGAATTCTTGTACGCAAATGTGATTGTTCTCTTAAAAGAAAATTTATGAGGACATCTATGGTCACTTCTCAGGGAGAATAGCAATGGTTCATCTTCCGTTGATATCATCTGATAGGCGGGTCATATATTTGTGGTGAAGGGAGGAGGTTGGGCTGGTGTTGAAGTGATGACGAGTACAAGTCTGCGATGAGTTATTCATCCGTGGATATTGGATTTGTTGAGCGAGTCAGTGTTGGTCTACTGCATCAGCTGTGAGTTCGGACTAGACCTCGTTAAACCATCATTGAACATAATTATATCATGCTGGACTCTTGTTATATCATGCTGGGCTGTTGATATATCATGCTGGGCTGTTGTTATATCATGCTGGGCTGTTGTTATGTCATGCTGGGCTATTGTTATATCATGCTGGGCTGTTGATATATCATGCTGGACTGTTGTTATATCATGCTGGACTGTTGTTATATCATGCTGGACTGTTGTTATATCATGCTGGACTGTTGTTATATCATGCTGGACTGTTGATATATCATGCTGGACTGTTGATATATCATGCTGGACTGTTGTTATATCATGCTGGACTGTTGATATATCATGCCGGGCTGTTGTTATATCAAGCTTGGTTGAGAATCAGAGCAATGTCAAAAATGCAAAACATTACAACTAGTCTATTTTCAAGGAAATGAAAAATTATGAGGCTAGAAAAGGAGGAAGAAAATTCTTTTAGCAATATAGAATGTATGGGACACAGATTTTTGCATCAGTACAGGAGAAGGATTATACAGAAGATATAGCATACGACCTGAAGATAGTGGAACATATTGATAGAATATCGTCAGCGTTATATACTAAACTGACCAGAAATTAGAACACAGTGACCATCCGAGTTATATCGACCTGGCTTCGAACCCTGATCAGCTACAGACAAGTCACCCCAGTTCACCCATGGTGGAACGCATTCAAGGCAAAACCAGCAAGGTACGGTTAAAGATGATCTGTGGGAAGGCAGAGCTTCAACAGTCTACAAATTGTAAGAAGTTAACTGCTCTTTCTAACACTCGTTAGAAACAAATTTGGCATCCCAATTACCAACCACTCGCGAGTGGCTAAATTGATGAAAACCACGACTATGGATCAGAAACATTGTAGCTAAGCTTTTGTGTCTTGCTCTCTTAAGTCATACTCGATACAGGACTTTCCATTCGAGTGAGAGATCAGATCTGTCGTTACCAAATTGGAAAAGTTTGCAGCTGTTTTCCTGTTGGAGAAATATCGAAAATGGAAGGGAGTGAGAGTTGGATGAGGAATGGGTGGAAGGAGAGAAAGAGACAGAGAAGGGTTTGTGAAGAAGGGAAGGGAACTATCAGGGAGGGGGGAAGCGCCAAGCCATTACGACTATATAGCACTTGGAAGGGATCAGGATTAGGATTTGGGATAGGACGAGGAGGAAGGAATGGTGCCCAACCACTTGGACTGTCGGGAATTGAACGCTGAGGTTAGGGAAGAAGAGAAAAAAGGTATGGCGGGAGGAAGAAGGCATAGTTGTAGAGAGAAAGGAGGAAGAGATAGAGAGGCGAAGGAATAAGAGAATGAGAGATGCAGTTGTGAGGGGGTGAAAGAGGAGAAAAATGGGGAGAATGGGAATGGGGTGTGAAAGATGAGGGTAATCAAAAGAAAGAAAAGAAACATGAAAACAAGTAGAGATGTAGTCACTCACGTTTATACAATTAATTTTATTGTTAATTCGATCACACAATATTTTATCATATTGAGTCGCTTGCCAAACATATATTAACAAATAAAATGACGCACAAACAAAAGTAGATATTTTGTTTGCTTGTGAATTAATTTAGATTTGCACATTGCCTTCTGGGCACACTTCAACGGCTCTACACAGATATTTGCATTATTAATAAGTGTTCCCGTCGGCTTGACGCTAATGCAAGCCACAAGCTCCTTGTGGCACTTCCTCCTCCACCTACTCTTTCAAACTGTTGTGTACCTAATTCGCTCTATCTTTCCTACACACATTATCCTTTTCCTTTTATTTTATTTTCTTGGTTCCGTTTGGTAAATCATTTTCTGTATCAGACAAAACACACGTTTATATATATATATATATATATATATTATATATATATATATATATATATATATATATATATATATATATATATATATATATATATATATATATATATATATATATATATATATATATATATAGACATATGTCGTACCTAGTAGCCAGAACGCACTTCTCAGCCTACTATGCAAGGCCCGATTTGCCTAATAAGCCAAGTTTTCATGAATTAATTGTTTTTCGACTACCTAACCTACCTAACCTAACCTAACCTATCTTTTTCAGCTACCTAACCCAACCTTACCTATAAAGATAAGTTAGGTTAGGTTAGGTAGGGTTGGTTAGGTTCGGTCATATATCTACGTTAATTTTAACTCCAATAAAAAAAATTTACCTCATACATAATGAAATGGGTAGCTCTATCATTTCATAAGAAAAAAATTAGAGAAAATATATTAATTCGTGAAAACTTGGCTTATTAGGCAAATTGGGCCTTGCATAGTAGGCTGAGAAGTGCGTTCTGGCTACTAGGTACGACATATATATATATATATATATATATATATATATATATATATATATATATATATAAACGTTGCATTTCCAAGTGTGAAGTAGTCTCTTCGAGCCCAAACATCATAGCTAGAATAAGATCCGACTTTCCTGAAGTTCATATCATTTGGAATCTCCTTGGAGCCACCCTCGGATCTAACGCCATTGACGAGATCCACGATAAGAAATCACAGACCTCAGGAGGATGGAAGACAAGATAGGTGAAATCGATGCCCACAATGCTTTTCACCTCCTCACTAATTGCTTATCCCTTCCGAAGCAAACTTACTTTCTGAGCCTTTAACCCCTGTCTAACCCCCAGGTACCTATTTACTGCTTGG